CTGTCTTCTGATGATGTCTGTCTGTCTTCTGATGATGTCTGTCTTCTGATGATGTCTGTCTTCTGATGATGTCTGTCTTCTGATGATGTCTGTCTGTCTTCTGATGATGTCTGTCTGTCTTCTGATGATGTCTGTCTGTCTTCTGATGATGTCGTCTGTCTTCTGATGATGTCTGTCTGTCTTCTGATGATGTCTGTCTGTCTTCTGATGATGTCTGTCTGTCTTCTGATGATGTCTGTCTGTCTTCTGATGATGTCTGTCTTCTGATGATGTCTGTCTGTCTTCTGATGATGTCTGTCTGTCTTCTGATGATGTCTGTCTGTCTTCTGATGATGTCTGTCTGTCTTCTGATGATGTCTGTCTGTCTTCTGATGATGTCTGTCTGTCTTCTGATGATGTCTGTCTGTCTTCTGATGATGTCTGTCTGTCTTCTGATGATGTCTGTCTGTCTTCTGATGATGTCTGTCTGTCTTCTGATGATGTCTGTCTGTCTTCTGATGATGTCTGTCTGTCTCTGATGATGTCTGTCTGTCTTCTGATGATGTCTGTCTGTCTTCTGATGATGTCTGTCTGTCTTCTGATGATGTCTGTCTGTCTTCTGATGATGTCTGTCTGTCTTCTGATGATGTCTGTCTGTCTTCTGATGATGTCTGTCTGTTTCTGATGATGTCTGTCTGTCTTCTGATGATGTCTGTCTGTCTTCTGATGATGTCTGTCTGTCTTCTGATGATGTCTGTCTGTCTTCTGATGATGTCTGTCTGTCTTCTGATGATGTCTGTCTGTCTTCTGATGATGTCTGTCTTCTGATGATGTCTGTCGTCTTCTGATGATGTGTCTGTCTTCTGATGATGTCTGTCTGTCTTCTGATGATGTCTGTCTGTCTTCTGATGATGTCTGTCTGTCTTCTGATGATGTCTGTCTTCTGATGATGTCTGTCTGTCTTCTGATGATGTCTGTCTGTCTTCTGATGATGTCTGTCTGTCTTCTGATGATGTCTGTCTGTCTTCTGATGATGTCTGTCTTCTGATGATGTCTGTCTGTCTTCTGATGATGTCTGTCTGTCTTCTGATGATGTCTGTCTGTCTTCTGATGATGTCTGTCTTCTGATGTGTTGTCTTCTGATGATGTCTGTCTGTCTTCTGATGATGTCTGTCTCTCTGATGATGTCTGTCTTCTGATGATGTCTGTCTTCTGATGATGTCTGTCTGTCTTCTGATGATGTCTGTCTGTCTTCTGATGATGTCTGTCTGTCTTCTGATGATGTCTGTCTGTCTTCTGATGATGTCTGTCTGTCTTCTGATGATGTCTGTCTGTTCTGATGATGTCTGTCTGTCTTCTGATGATGTCTGTCTTCTGATGATGTCTGTCTTCTGATGATGTCTGTCTTCTGATGATGTCTGTCTGTCTTCTGATGATGTCTGTCTGTCTTCTGATGATGTCTGTCTGTCTTCTGATGATGTCTGTTCTGATGATGTCTGTCTGTCTTCTGATGATGTCTGTCTGTCTTCTGATGATGTCTGTCTGTCTTCTGATGATGTCTGTCTGTCTTCTGATGATGTCTGTCTTCTGATGATGTCTGTCTTCTGTGATGTGTTGTCTTCTGATGATGTCTGTCTGTCTTCTGATGATGTCTGTCTGTCTTCTGATGATGTCTGTCTTCTGATGATGTCGTCTGTCTTCTGTGATGTCGTCGTCTTCTGTGATGTCGTCTGTCTTCTGATGATGTCTGTCTGTCTTCTGATGATGTCTGTCTTCTGATGATGTCTGTCTTCTGATGATGTCTGTCTGTCTTCTGATGATGTCTGTCTGTCTTCTGATGATGTCTGTCTGTCTTCTGATGATGTCTATCTGTCTTCTGATGATGTCTGTCTGTCTTCTGATGATGTCTGTCTTCTGATGATGTCTGTCTGTCTTCTGATGATGTCTGTCTGTCTTCTGATGCACTTCTTGCGATGTCTGTCTTCTGATGCACCTCTTTTATCTTTTTTTCGTCCCTATCGCTTTCTTTTGTTAGGCAGAGTTGTTTAAGAAAGGTTTAATCCAGGCAAATCCAGAGCTAGACCAGAAGCAAGGCATTTCCAGCTCTAGTCTAGCTAGTCTAGCTTCTAGTCTAGCTCTACGGCTCTACCTGGCTTGATCTACCTGGCTCTACCTGGCTCTACTGCTCTACCTGGCCTAGAATGTGTTCATTTTGAGTAATTCGTTTTTTAAAATAGGAAAAGTACTTGGGAAAAGTCCTTGAGAAAGTACTGTACTTCAGAAAAGTACTTAAGAAAGTACCGTACTTGGGAAAAGTACTTAAGAAAGTACCGTACTTGAGAAAAGTATCGTAGTCCAACCGTTATTTTACATTGAATCCGTCTGATTTTGATGTCATTGACTGAGCATTATAAATCCTCATCAAATGCTACGAAAAACCCGCTGATCTAATAGAAACTAACGATTTGAAACTAGAAACTAACGAACTAATAGAAACTAACGAACTATACGGTACTTTACTCAAGTACAGTACCTTTCTCGTTTTAGAAAACGGATTAGACAAGAGGAACACATTCTAATCCCAAAGAATCCCTGTGTCTCTTGCCAATCAAATCCTTGCCTAGCTCACTCTCGCTAAGCTAGACTTTCCCTAAAATTATCTCTAAATTATCTCTATATTTTCAATTCTTAAACAAGACAAGCAAGTTAAAGCTTTCTTTAAAGTCTATTTTAAGGATCAAATGATGTTTCAAACCGGATCTCAAGAACCCCACAACGGGCGCCTTCACTAGCTGGAAACGAGCGCTCGCTCATTGATCTGATTGAAGGCAAGTCTGAGAACATAAAGGCAACTACAGTAGCCAACGGTAGCCAACCACGGTAGCCAACTAGGGTAGCCAGCTAGGTAGCCAACTAGGTAGCCAACGGTAGCCTACTACGGTAGCCAAGGGTAGCCAACTAGGTAGCCAACTAGGGTAGCCAACGGTAGCCAACTACAGTAGCCAACGGTAGCTAACTAGGTAGCCAACTACGGTAGCCAACGGTAGCCAACTAGGTAGCCAACGGTAGCCAACTAGGTAGCCAACGGTAGCCTACTATGGTACCCAACGGTAACCAACTAGGTAGCCAAGGGTAACCAACTAGGTAGTCAACCAGGTAGCCAACCAGGTAGCCAACGGTAGCCAACTACGGTAGCCAACTTACAAAATTGGTTTACGGGTCTATCCTGCAATCATGTTTCAATGGAAAATCGTAATCCATAGCCGGAATCGGGTTCAATTGATTTCCGCTCATTTAACCTCGATTCCAGCTGTTTTATATAGTTTTGAAGCCAAAAAACTAACTCGGAAAATAGCTACCTTCTTTAAAAACGTTTCCAGTGTTTAATAATTAAAAACTAGTGTTTAGTAATGTTTTGTACAAGTTAAAATACAAGTTCAGCATGTTTTTTAGAGAACGATCGCCTTGAGAGAGCCCGCACTCGATATCGAGATGGAGAAAGCGAAAGAATTCAGTGGCTAGAATTTGAAATTCAAATTCTAAGCTTTTATTTAGGAAAGCTGAAGACTTTGCGAGTCGAATGACGCTGAATTCGAGAAATTCGAGAATTTCGAGAGATTCCAGGGATTCTAGGCTTGAGAGTAGAGCCAAGAGTTTGTCTAGGTCAGCATTAAGCTAAAATCTGGGCTTTGAACCGCTAGAAACGGCTTTGAACCGCTAGAAACCGCTTTGAACCCTTTCTCGGTGCATTTGTATCTTCGTTTTTCATAAAATTCTTTTTTTCTGGAGCATTGCTCTTAGTTTAGTCTATGCGAATTACTGAGAACGTAAAATGGAAAGGATTCAGTGCCCGAGAAAGAGTGCGTTTGTAAAACAGAGCGCAAAACAGAGCGCAAAACAGAGCGCAAAACAGAGCGCAAAACAGAGCGCAAAACAGAGCGCAAAACAAATAAAGTACAGCTAAATAGCCACTTTGAATAGAAGATTTAGAAACTCTCGTCCTAGCCGTCCTAGCCGTCCTAGCCGAGAGAACTCAGCTCAACGATCGAGGCTTAGCTCAACGATCTCAAGAAATCCAATCCAGCCAAAGCGCTACTCGAATCGGGAGTTTTTCCGCTGGAATTCGGATGAGGATTTGGTGTCAGATGATTCGAGAAGAGAACATGGTTTGGTCTAAACTCTAAGCTCAGATACAGTACCCAGTCTTTCTAGAGCAGCTATAGTACCCTTACAGTAGCTACAGTAACCCTACCGTACCCCTAGAACAGCCACAGTACCCCTACGTTAGCCCTATAGCAGCTACAGTACCGCTAAAGTAGCCGGATCAGCTACAATGCCCCTTCAGCTGCTACAGTATCCCTACAGCTGCTACAGTACCTCTACAGTAGCCCTGCAGTAGCTACGGTAGCCCCACAGCACCCCTAGAACAAATACAGTACCGCTATCAGCCGGATCATCTACAATGTTCCTTCAGCAGCTACAGTAGCCCTCCAGTAGCCCTGCAGCAGCTACAGTACCGCTACAGTACCCCCATAGAAGCTATAGTGCCTCTACGATACCCCTACAGCAGCCAAGTACCCTCTTAGCAGCTACAGTACCCAGATCAGCTACAGTACCGCTACAGTACCCGGATCAGCTACAATGTCCCTTCAGCAACTACAGTAGTCCTACAGCAGCTATAGTAGCCCTACAGTACCCCTAGCACAGCTACAGTGCCCCTACAATGCCCCTACAGTACCCTGATCAGCTATAATACCCATTCAGCCGCTACAGTAGCCATGTTATTCTACTGTCGCTACAGTAATGTCCAGGTACTGTAGAAGTGTGATTAGCTACAGTAGACCTTGGCCAGCTAGAGTACCCACACAGCAGCCATTCTTCTACATTCTTTTACAACATTTCCAACTTCAACAGAGCTACAGTACTCCCTTCACAGTTTTCCCAACTAATACGCCAGCTACAGTACTTCTAGAATGGCTACGTACTACAGTATCCTTTAATCTCTGATGCTAGGATACTCAGATGATAACTTTAGGCCATCGAATCGTTGAATCGCCGTGTCTCTTGTGTAAATGGGCTAGGGAATTTGATGAGAAAGCGAGAAGGAAAAGAGCTGTCAGAGAAAGCGAGAAGTCTAATGAACATTGTCGAGAAGTGAATCGGTAAGAAAGGGTTTGAATTTGATTACAAATTATGGTAGTCTTTTAAACTGGAGACGGATTACAATCGTTTTTTTGAAGATTACACTTTTTAGCAAAACGGCATACGCTATAATCAAAGCTTAAAGCTTCTAGAATCGTCAATTCTCGTCAGGAACGTTTGGGAGGTTGGGAGGAACGTTTTTTTCGATGAGAACTTCGATGAGAACACAACTTCTCGTCAATCAATGCCAAGAAACAATGCCAATCAATGTCAATCAATGTCAATCAAAGCCAATCAATGCCAATTTTGAATTACAATGCGAATTTAAATGAAATTTAAATCAAATTTGAAATGAAAAAATGAATTTATCAAAGTTTTGGCTTGATTTTTGTTCTTTCTTGTGACGTTGACATTAGCAATTCTCCAGTTTTCGACCAAATTCGTCCCAAATACAAATTGCGATCTCTCGATTTACCGATTTCATCCATTTCGAAGAAAAGCCAATCGTTTGGATCAAAACTGAATCAAAACTGATTGAAACTGATCAAAATTGAATCAAAATTGAATCAAAACTGATCAAAAGTGATCAAAAGTGATCAAAGTTGAATGAAAATTGATCAAAATTGATCAAAAGTAATCAAAAGTGATCAAAACTGATCAAAAGTGATCAAAAGTGATCAAAACTGATCAAAATTGAATCAAAAGTGATCAAAACTGATCAAAAGTGATCAAAAATGAATCAAAAGTTATCAAAATTGAATCAAAAGTGATCAAAACTGATCAAAACTGATCAAAACTGATCAAAAGTGATCAAAAGTGATCAAAAATGAATCAAAACTGATCAAAAATGAATAAAAACTGTTCAAAGTTGATCAAAATTGATCAAAAGTGATCAAAATTGATTAAAATTGGGGAGTGGGACAAACGCCACCTTCTTTTGCGCACCTGGACATTTGCGCACCTTTTTTTTTTGCTGGAAAAGGCCTTAGGAAAGGTCGTAGAGCTTCGAAAATCTTTCCAGATAAGGGAATCGTATGCGTAGATTCCGAATTTCGACAAATCACACCTCGCTGACACGTTAAATTTGGGCTAAAAGGCAAAAACAACTGCGGAAAAGCGTTAAGTTGCGTCGTTTTTGCCTTTTAGCCCAAATTTGACGTGTCAGCGAGGTGTGATTTGTCGAAATTCGGAATCTACGCATACGATTCCCTTCTATGAAAACATTTTTGAAGCTCTACGACCTTTCCTAAGGCCTTTTCCAGCAAAAAAAAAGGTGCGCAAATGTTCGGGTGCGCAAAAGAAGGTGGCGTTTGTCCCACCCCGTCAAAACTGATCAAAATTGAATCAAAAGTGATCAAAAGTGATCAAAAATTGAATCAAAACAATCAAAACAATACCTTCTTTATAAAAATGAACTTAAAACCTTATTTATAGACTAAATAGTGAATATTTACAGTAATTGTACTTACAAATTTGTAACTTTTTAGTCGACTTTTTGCTTGAAATGTACTCTTTTTATCAAAGAATCAAGTGCACGAGAAAGGGTGTGTTTTTAAGCAAAAAAAAGTAAACCTATTTGACTCACAAATATTGATGAAACCAAGTAAAATAATCGTTGATTGGCTCATCGTTATGTTCGTTAAAGAGATCTAAAGAAATTTCATCAATTTCACATTTCAAAAGCTTACTGTAACCAGAGAGCTTTACTAGAAAAGCTTGGCGTTCTTTGATGTCATCAGGATCTTAAATTCTTGAGTTTTTTTTGAGCTTTCTTGAACCTTTCGAGCTTTTTGGAGCTTTCTGGAGCTTTCTGCAGCCTTCTTGAGCTTTTTTGAGCTTTCTGCAGCCTTCTGGAGCTTTCTGGAGCTTTCTGCAGCTTTCTTTAGCTTTTTTGAGCTTTCTGGAGCTTTCTGCAGCCTTCTGGAGCTTTCTGGAGCTTTCTGCAGCCTTCTTTTTGAGCATTCTTGAGCTTTCTGCAGCCTTCTGGAGCTTTCTGGAGCTTTCTGCAGCCTTCTGGAGCTTTCTGGAGCTTTCTGCAGCTTTCTTTAGCTTTTTTGAGCATTCTGGAGCTTTCTGCAGCCTTCTGGAGCTTTTTTGAGCTTTCTGGAGCTTTCTGCAGCCTTCTGGAGCTTTTTTGAGCTTTCTGCAGCCTTCTGGGAGCTTTCTGGAGCTTCCTTCAGCTTCCTTTAGCTTCTTGAGCTTTCTGGAGCTTCCTGCAGCCTTCTTGAGCTTTCTTGAGCTTTCTGCAGCTTTCTTTAGCTTTCTGCAGCATTCTTGAGCTTCCTGCAGCCTTCTTGGAGCTTCCTTCAGCTTCCTTCAGCTTTCTTTAGCTTTTTTTGAGCATTCTTGAGCTTTCTGCAGCCTTCTTGAGCTTCTTTGAGCTTCCTGGAGCTTTCTGCAGCTTCCTTCAGCTTCTTTGAGCTTCCTTCAGCCTCCTTCAGCTTCCTTCAGCTTCCTTCAGCTTCTCTTTAGCTTCTTGAGCATTCTGGAGCTTCCTTCAGCCTTCTGCAGCTTCCTGGAGCTTCCTTCAGCTTCCTTTAGCTTCTTTGAGCATTCTTGAGCTTTCTGCAGCCTTCTGGAGCTTTCTGGAGCTTTCTGCAGCTTTCTTTAGCTTTTTTGAGCATTCTGGAGCTTTCTGCAGCCTTCTGGAGCTTTCTGGAGCTTTCTGCAGCCTTCTGGAGCTTTCTGGAGCTTTCTGCAGCTTTCTTTAGCTTTTTTGAGCATTCTGGAGCTTTCTGCAGCCTTCTGGAGCTTTCTGGAGCTTTCTGCAGCTTTCTTTAGCTTTTTTGAGCATTCTGGAGCTTTCTGCAGCCTTCTGGAGCTTTCTGGAGCTTTCTGCAGCCTTCTGGAGCTTTCTGGAGCTTTCTGCAGCTTTCTTTAGCTTTTTTGAGCATTCTGGAGCTTTCTGCAGCCTTCTGGAGCTTTCTGGAGCTTTCTGGAGCTTTCTGCAGCTTTCTTTAGCTTTTTTGAGCATTCTGGAGCTTTCTGCAGCCTTCTGGAGCTTTCTGGAGCTTTCTGCAGCCTTCTGGAGCTTTCTGCAGCCTTCTGGAGCTTTCTGGAGCTTTCTGGAGCTTTCTGCAGCCTTCTGGAGCTTTCTGCAGCCTTCTGGAGCTTTCTGCAGCCTTCTGGAGCTTTCTGGAGCTTTCTGGAGCTTTCTGCAGCCTTCTGGAGCTTTCTGGAGCTTTCTGGAGCTTTCTGCAGCCTTCTGGAGCTTTCTTTAGCTTTTTTGAGCATTCTGGAGCTTTCTGCAGCCTTCTGGAGCTTTCTGGAGCTTTCTGCAGCCTTCTGGAGCTTTCTGCAGCCTTCTGGAGCTTTCTGCAGCCTTCTGGAGCTTTCTGGAGCTTTCTGGAGCTTTCTGGCTGTTCTGCAGCCTTCTGGAGCTTTCTGCAGCCTTCTGGAGCTTTCTGCAGCCTTCTGGAGCTTTCTGGAGCTTTCTGCAGCCTTCTGGAGCTTTCTGCAGCCTTCTGGAGCTTTCTGCAGCCTTCTGGAGCTTTCTGGAGCTTTCTGCAGCCTTCTGGAGCTTTCTGCAGCCTTCTGGAGCTTTCTGCAGCCTTCTGGAGCTTTCTGGAGCTTTCTGGAGCTTTCTGGAGCTTTCTGCAGCCTTCTGGAGCTTTCTGCAGCCTTCTGGAGCTTTCTGCAGCCTTCTGGAGCTTTCTGGAGCTTTCTGCAGCCTTCTGGAGCTTTCCAGCCTTCTGGGCTCCTGCAGCCTTCTGGAGCTTTCTGGAGCTTTCTGCAGCCTTCTGGAGCTTTCTGCAGCCTTCTGGAGCTTTCTGCAGCCTTCTGGAGCTTTCTGGAGCTTTCTGGAGCTTTCTGCAGCCTTCTGGAGCTTTCTTGAGCTTCCTTAAGCTTTCTTCAGCTTTCTTCAGCTTTCTTTAGCCTTCTTAAGCTTTTTTGAGCTTTCTTGAACTTTCTTTAGCTTTTTTGAGCTTTCCGCAGCTTTCTGCAGCTTTCTTGAGTTTTCTTGAGCTTTCTTAAGCTCCCTGGAGCTTCCTTAAGCCTTTCTGGCGCTTTCCTGAGCTTTTTTGAGCTTTCTGGGGCTTTCTTTAGCGTTCTTAAGCTCCCTGGAGCTTCCTTAAGCTTTCTAGAGCTTCCTTCAGCTTCCTTCAGCTTCCTTCAGCTTCCTTCAGCTTCCTTCAGCTTCCTTCAGCTTTTACTTACCAATTTGATTCTTTGATTTAACCCAAAAGTGCAACTTCGAAGTGGGAAGAGTGGAAAATGGTCGAATTTCAATCTAAACCTCTATTATAATCTTTTTTCAAATTTTTCTCAAAAAATTCTTCAGGAAATTTGTTTCATTTTCAAATCTTAAAAAGATCTATAATTTCTGTTGCTTTAAAGATGCTTTAAAGAAAGAAATTGCTTTAAAGAAAGCTCAAAGCTTGTCTTAATTCAGTAAAAAGGGATTTTTGTCTCAAGGGATTGTTCTCTCAAGGGATTTTCCCCTTTTAAATTCCTATTTTAAAGAAAATAGGTAGAGGGAAAGCTTCCAAATTTTGCATACTTTTTTTTTTTTTTTTTTTGATCTGTCTTTGCACTCAGGTGTTCCTATTTGCGCAGATCACAACCTGCTTCCACATTTCTCTATCCCTTGCTATTGTCATCCAGTGTTTCCTAGCTTGATTGTTCCTGGTTCGAAGTCTTCGACTTGCTGGTGCTGGTGGTGGTTGCAGTCTAGCCATCCTTTCTCTGACCGTCTCTGCCACTCTTGTGCTCCACCTCGTTGCTGGTCTTCCGACTGGCCTCTTCTGGTCTCGTGGTAGCCACTCTGTGATCCGTATCGTCCATCTGTCGTCTTTTCTTCTGGCTACGTGACCGGCCCATCTGAGTCTTTTTCTCTCAATCACTTCCACTGGATCTCTGAATCCCGAGAGCTGGCGCATGTCCGTACTTCTTAGGTCGTGGCCCAGGTCTCTGTCGTGGCCCAGGTCTCTGTCGTGGCCCAGGTCTCTGTCGTGGCCCAGGTCTCTGTCGTGGCCCAGGTCTCTGTCGTGGCCCAGGTCTCTGTCGTGGCCCAGGTCTCTGTCGTTGGCCCAGGTCTCTGTCGTGGCCCAGGTCTCTGTCGTGGCCCAGGTCTCTGTCGTGGCCCAGGTCTCTGTCGTGGCCCAGGTCTCTGTCGTGGCCCAGGTCTCTGTCGTGGCCCAGGTCTCTGTCGTGGCCCAGGTCTCTGTATTTTGCATACTTATGTAATCAAATGAGCTGAATCTTTTTACTTTTACATAAAAATAGATTTGTTTGAAAGAAAGAGGTTAAATTGTGATTTTGGAACGAGCAGGATTGACTTGAGTACTTGAGTCAATGAAAATCTATAAAAACAATTGGAAAAGCGAGAAAAGCGAGAAAAGCTTACCAAAGACATTTCAGTAGTTGCTTTGAGCTGAGCTTTGAGCGTTTCCGGGTCTAAACTTAAACTTGATCAAGCTGAATATCTTTAAAGGGTATTAATCGCGGCCGGGTGACCATAAAAAATTTTTTACGCCAACCACCTGTTTTTTTGTTTTAATATCGCTGATTTTATTATAAAAAGAATAAAAATCACCCGGCTAGAGTGATTTGATGGGTTTACAAATTTTTGGAGACACTGCAAGGCTCGCGTAGTTCATCTACAAGGTAAGTGCGAAAGTAAAGCAAAAGTCAGGCATTATGTTTTCTTTTTGTTTTCTTTAGCCTTTCGATCTACATTTTTGGTTTTTAACATCTCTAGATGCCTTTTTCAAGATGGAGATTTTATTTTTAGATAATGCAAAAGATCATTAAGCTAATCTAGCTTATGGTTTTCTAAATACTCTTGTTTTTTCGAAAGCCAAGAAAACTTATGTTAGGAAACAAAAGAAAACCACAATCGAATGGAAAAAAAAAGATCTAATTGCGTCAATCAAAGCGCTGAAGATGGGGGAGATTTCTGTTGAGGATGCGCTGGAAATTGACTAAGATAGGAAGCCAATCTGAGAAACTGGTGTACTTGAGCGAAGATGAAAGTGAGCAAGAGGAAGAATTATAGATTAACAACTTATTTGTATTGTTTTTTGTGCTTGGTTACAGGTGGTTGGCGTAAAAAAAATTTTATGGTCACCCGGCCGCGATTAATACCCCCCCCCCCTTTAAGTTGACGATTTTCTTGAAGCTCTGGATGAATCAAGGGTGTTTCGTTAATGCCTTGCTTGCTTAATAACGTGAATGCCTTGCTTGTCTCTATTTTATGCACCTATCTCTCCACCCGATCATCTATTCTTTTACCCCGTTTTCCCTCAAAAAGGATCCAAAACCCTCAGGACTCTTAAAAAGGACAAAAAGGGGACCATAATCCATCTCCTTTCACCCAAAAATCGTGCCAACTAAGCCCGTTGTTCCTTTTTGTGAAAGCAAAACCCGAGGCAGGACGAAGATTGAGTAAATCCTAGTTATCTTTTTTGATCTTGCTCCTACATAAATCCACACAGGTCAGGGGATTTTGGAATGCGATTTTGGAGTTTAGTTCTTCAATGGTTCGAATGTTTTCAAGTAGTTTAGTCAAAGTTTTTCAAATCCAATCCAATCAAATCAAATCCAATCCATTCCAATCCAATCAATTCCAATCAATTCCAATCCAATCAATTGCAATCAATTTCAATCCAATCAATTCCAATCCAATCCATTCCAATCCAATCCAATCCATTCCATTCCAATCCAATCCAATCCAATCCAATCCAATCAAAATCTTCCAAATTCAAACCTAATTCAAACCTTTTTGCTAATCAGAGAACTTTAGAGCACTTTAGAGCAAAATCAATCTTTATGCCTTGCAAGAAGCAAAAGTCTTGCCATGTCTTGCCATCATTCGAACCAAAGACCAGGAAAAGCGCTAGTACACTATCAACTAGGCTACGAAAGACCAGACCAGAGCCGTGTCTGAGTGACGATCTTGTTTTTTTCCAAGCCTTGCAACGTCTCCAAAAATTTGTAAACCCATCAAATCACTCTAGCCGGGTGATTTTTATTCTTTTTATAATTAAATCAGCGATATTAAAATAAAAAAACAGGTGGTTGGCGTAAAAAAATTTTTATGGTCACCCGGCCGCGATTAATACCCCCCCTTTAAAGTATCGTTGGTTAGTTGGTTGTACCGTTTTCGAAAAGTAACCGATTCTTCGGATTTCAGAGGACCACAAGTACCATTTGTTAGCCAGCTTTATTAGCCAGCTTTGTTAGCCAGCTTTGTTAGCCAGCTTTGTTAGCCACGAGTAAATCGTGGGCTCCGATGCGATAAGCTTGGGGAAATAACCCTTCAAATGTTAACTCTCTTGTAGACAGAGAAGTTAATGTTGTTCATCAAGACATAGCCATTAACTTTACCGGAATTGACCTAATCGTAACCATACCGCAACTAGTTACCCTTCTTTTTCCGTATTTAAAATATCAGCTGGCTACAAAGCTGGCTACAAAGCTGGCTACAAAGCTGGCTAACACAAAGCTGGCTAACAAAGCTGGCTAACAAAGCTGGCTAACAAAGCTGGCTAACAAAGCTGGCTAACAAAGCTGGCTAACAAAGCTGGCTAACAAAGCTGGCTAACAAAAGCTGGCTACTCACTACCACTCGGCCACAGCCGTCATGATGCTCAACGGTCGAAACGAGGTTAGAACGTCGATGCTTGATTTCTCCTTACAAAACTTTCAGGGCTTATAGCTTTTGACAGAGTGATCCATAGCAAAAACGGAAAACAGATTCGGAATCAGCGTGAAATTCTGCGTTGAATGGTAGATGGCATTTGGTCAGCGTATCAAGTTATCTTCCATTTTTAGCCAGATTTGTTTAGCCAGACCAGAAAAACGTTGAATTTGCTTGATTTGACGTGAAATGAGATTTTCTATAAAATGAAAATAAATTCTAAATCAAATTTTCCATAAAATGGAAGTAAATTCAACGTTTTTTCAAATAAAACCAGTCAAGATACGTCGAAAATTGCCAATGGATGATTAGATTGCCAGTGGCAAACGGGAAAATAACGGATTTAGCATGGCTATCATTTAGCATGGCTATCATTTAGCATGGCTATCATTTAGCATGGCTATCATTTAGCATGGCTATCATTTAGCATGGCTATCATTTAGCATGGCTATCATTTAGCATGGCTATCATTTAGCATGGCTATCATTTAGCATGGCTATCATTTAGCATGGCTATCATTTAGCATGGCTATCATTTAGCATGGCTATCATTTAGCATGGCTATCATTTAGCATGGCTATCATTTAGCTTGCTATCATTTAGCATGGCTATCATTTAGCATGGCTATCATTTAGCAATGGCTATCATTTAGCATGGCTATCATTTAGCATGGCTATCATTTAGCATGGCTATCATTTAGCATGGCTATCATTTAGCATGGCTATCATTTAGCATGGCTATCATTATTCTATTATTTAGCCTTTATCCTTCATCCTTTATTCTTTATCCTTTAGCCTTTAGCCTTTAGCCTTTAGCCTTTATCCTTTATCTTTTATCCTTTAGCCTTTAGCCTTTAGCCTTTATCCTTTAGCCTTTAGCCTTTAGCCTTTAGCCTTTATCCTTTAGCCTTTATCCTTTAGCCTTTAGCCTTTAGCCTTTAGCCTTTTAGGCTTCGCCTTTAGCCTTTAGCCTTTGCCTTTACCTCTTTATCCTTTATCCTTTAGCCTTTAGCCTTTAGCCTTTAGCCTTTAGCATTTAGCCTTTAGCCTTTATCCTTTAGCCTTTATCCTTTAGCTAACATTTCCTACCTGGCAAATCTTTTGGAAACTTTGGATTCATTGAGTAACGATCTTTCACCGATTCTTTCTAAAACAATATTCTTTTAGTTCATTTTTTGAAGCAGCCGTTTACTCGTTGAAAAGAAAACTCAGAAAGGAGACAGAGTCGCTCGTTTTCCTCAGCTTTCACAAAACTGAAAGAATTGTTGATCTTGGAAAGATCTTTGAATTTTATCGATATCTAAGCTTGATATCTAAGCTTGATATCTAAGCTTGATATCTAAGCTTGATGTATAAGCTTGATGTCTACGTTTGATATCTAGCTTTATCGATATCTAAACTTTCTCATGACAAATCTACCGTATCAGAAAATTTCGTCCATCCCTTGTGCGCTCGACATTGAATCTGACAGAGTTTTGTGAACCTAAAATTTCTTTTACATTTGATTTTACATTTGATAGAACTTAACTCGTCTTTCTCTCTTTCTTGTCTGTTAATAACACCGTAAATACTGTAATAGTACCCCACCCTCCTCGTACAGTCGCGTAGTCGCAGTCGCAAAAGTTCGCAAGTCGCGTAGTCGGAAAAGATTTTATTTATTGTTTTTCAAAACGTCTGTACTTTCAAAAAATGCGTTTTTGGTATCAAAAAATAGCTGAAATTCAGGGCTATTTTTTGATACCAAAACGAACATTTTAGCATAAACCAGTGTCGAGAAAAACTCGTTCAAAGCTAGACTACACAACACTCCGCACCGTCATTATGGGGCTGGGGTACTATTACAGTATTTACGGTAATTTCTTAGCTTCTTTCCAGGCTAGTAAGCTTTCTTAGAGAATCCAATTCCCTTCTATTTGTTCAATTCGATAAGAGTTCCCAACAAAAGGTGACCAGTTTCAGTGAAAAATGCATGAATCGAGTGTACAATGAAGCCGTCATTTGTTGTTGAGTAGGCTGCTTGAAGAGACTAAATTTTTTAGTTTTAGTTTTAGTTTTACGAAAACGACAAGTTTTAATGATTATGGAGAGTGGGACAAATGCGACCTTTTTTTTGCGCACCCGGACATTTGCGCACCTTTTTTTCCGCACTTAGCCCATTAGCGCACCTTTTTTCGCGTTTTAAAAAAGCTCTAAAAAGCTAATATTAACCAATTTCTATTCCAAAAGTTGTTTTTCTAGGTAATTTTAGGGCGTAAAATCGAAATTTTGACATAACAGAGCGTGTGGAACCAATTTGAAAGACAAAACGGCTGACAAAACGACAAAACGACAAAATTGTTGATCTTTCTCTTTGTATAACTCCGTCCGTTCGCTTCCACAAGCTCTGTTATGTCAAAATTTCGATTTTACGCCCTAAAATTACCTAGAAAAACAACTTTTGGAATAGAAATTGGTTAATATTAGCTTTTAGAGCTTTTTTAAAACGCGAAAAAAGATGCGCTAATGGGCAAAGTGCGGAAAAAAAGGTGCGCAAATGTCCAGGTGCGCAAAATAAAGGACGCATTTGTCCCACTCCCGAAAAAATAAACAAAACAATAAAACGATCCTCGATTTTTGCGATTTTTCACTTTAAAATAAAAAAACAGCGCTTAAATTCCGATTTTTTTTCCGACAAACGTACGCACAAATACCATTTACGAAATCGTTTAAATCCAAAAATTTTTAATCATTTCTTTATTTGTTGGAAAATAATAGGTTCACAATGTTTCCTTTTCATTTTCTTTCTGTAAACTTTCTTTTTACTTGTTCTATTTCTTTTTATAAACTAATTTTTATTTTTTAGAAAGATGGAGCGTGGAAAATCAAATCGAACAGATGAAAAATGCGATTTTGAAAGGAAAAAATGCGATTTTGAAAGTTGTCGAATTGGAAGATCGTAAAAGCGAAGCGCTTGCACCAAGTTGTTGCAAATTTCTTCAATGATCCTTTCAATTATGGCAAGAAGAAGTCTCCGAGATGTCTTTGAAAGCTCCGCAGAAGTTGATTCGCAACGTGATCCACATTGACGGCTTCCCAGTGATGCTCCTCCAAAGTTTCAACGTCCACAAAGCATTGGATCCTTCCTCAAATCGTGTCAATAGTACTCGTTGCCGTCTAGACCATTCAAATTAAATGTTTCCTCATTGATGAAGATGTCCTACAAAGAAAATGAAGCGCTGGCACCAAGCTGTTGCAAATTTCTTGAAGAATCCTTTCAATTATGGCAAGAGGAAGTCTCCGAGATGTCTTTGAAAGCTCCGCAGAAGTTGATCGACGTCCTGGTGATCGTTCGAGTTAATGTGATAAGTCACAAACTCTAAATCAAGAACGTGATCCACATTGACGGCGCCCCAGTGATGCTCCTCCAAAGTTTCAACGTCCACAAAGCATTGGATTCTTCCTCAAATCGTGTCAATAGTGCTTGTTGCCGTCTAGACCATTCAAATGAAATGTTTCCTCATTGCTGAAGATGTCCTACAAAGAAAATGAAGCGCTCGCACCAAGCTGTTGCAAATTTCTTGAAGAATCCTTTCAATTATGGCAAGAAGAAGTCTCCGAGACGTTTTTGAAAGCTCAAGCGCTGAACGGCATATTGGACGTCTGTTGTCGGTGATGTCGCTAGAACGTCAAGACAAAAATTGGAGCTCTCGTCAATAAAAGCACTCTTTCTCGAGTGTATGCCTTACATCAAAAGAGCAGTCATGAAGAAAGCACTAAAACTGAAGTTGGGATCAAAGGACGAAGGAAGCAAAAAGAAAAAAGGACGTCTTTCGGCCTGGGATCATATCACTATCGACTACAATTTTGACGGGTGGCGTCAATGTGGATCACATGAACTTGAACGATTACTAGGATTTCCTTGCCGATCAACTTCTTCAGAGCTTTCAAAAACGTCCCGGAGACTTCCGGAAATTCTTGCCATAATTGAAAGGATTCTTCAAGAAATTTGCGACAAAATTACGACAAATTTGCGCTTCATTTTCTTTTTAGATCATCTTCAGCAAAGAGAAAACTTAATTTGAATGATCTAGACGACAACAAGTACTATTACAATGCAACAAGTACTGGAGAAAGGATCCAATGCTTTGTGGACGTTGAAACTTTGGAGGAGCATCACTGGGGCGCCGTCAATGTGGATCACGTTCTTGATTTAGAGTTTGCGACTTGTCACATGAACTAGAACAATTACTAGGATGTCCTTGGATCAATTGCTTCATTTCCTAGCAAAAAACCGAGAGAAAAACTACATTTTTTCAACAGAATACTTCAATTCATATCAGTCAATCTAAAGCCTGGAGAGTATTAGCCCTATTGCCACTTAAAAGAGTCAGAAATCGATCTGTTGATTAGTAAATAAAAGAAGGCACCTGTACGAGAAGATCGGTCTCTTTTGAGCTCATCAGTTGCCTTTTTCACTGAAAGTTTATTGAAAAGTTTGGCTTTTGTTGGCTTTCAGATATTTTGAATGAATCGTCGAACTTTGAAGGCCCATAACTTTATCTAGAGATAACATTATTCATATCTTTTTATATCATTAGATAGAGGACAGTCTAGGCTTTCTAATGATACAAAGAATAGTTTGATTAGACCCTGGATAAAGGCTTATAATACCCATGGAAACTAGGCCGATCAAAATCAAGTTTGGCCGGCCTCGTTGGCTTTGATTTTTCTGGACTGGTTTATCCAATCAAACTCTTTTTAGTATCATTCGAAAGCCTGAAATGTTCTCTATCCAAGGATCTTAAAAGTTACTAAAAAGATAATCTTTAGAGAAAGTTATGGGCCAAAGAGTGACGACTCATTCAAGAGGAAATCCAAGAAGAGCTAAAAGTTTAAAAACAAAAGAAAAATCGACAGAGAAGTATTTTCATTAAAGAAAAGACAAGATTTAGCATTTGCCATAATAGATTTAAGCAGAGAAGATTTGATTCGATGATTGACAAGATTTAAAAAGCTATTGTCATTTGACATGATAGAAATTGATAGAAAGATTGATAGAAAAGTAAGTTTTTAAATAAATTTAAAGAGAAATTGAATACTTTTTCTTTTTTCTTATCAAATCTTGGCGAAAATCTTGCTGTTTGTAGTCTGAGTGATTCTTTTTTGTCTTTCTTTTGTATTTTTGTCTTTTCTTTATGTCTTTTTTTCCTTTTTCTCTTTCTAGATCAATATGTCGAGTGAAGAAATTTGAAAAAGAGCGAAGATCTTCTCATTTTAAATTTCTGTACACTAAAGAGTCCTATTTTGATCTAATACGGTTCCTATTTTGATCTAATAAGGTTCCAATACGGTTCTAATACGGTTCCAATACGGTTCCTATTTTGATCCAATACGGTTCCAATACAGTTCCTATTTTGATCCAATACGGTTCCTATTTTGATCCAATACGGTTCCTATCTTGATCTAATAAGGTTCCAATACGGTTCCTATTTTGATCCAATACGGTTCCAATACAGTTCCTATTTTGATCCAATACGGTTCCTATTTTGATCCAATACGGTTCCTATCTTGATCTAATACGGTTCCAATACGGTTCCAATACGGTTCCAATACGATTCCAATACGGTTCCAATACGGTTCCAATACGGTTCCTATTTTGATCCAATACGGTTCCAATACAGTTCCTATTTTGATCCAATACGGTTCCAATACGGTTCCTATCTTGATCCAATAAGGTTCCAATACGGTTCCAATACAGTTCCTATTTTGATCCAATACGGTTCGAATACGGTTCCAATACGGTTCCAATACGGTTCCTATTTTGATCCAATACGGTTCCTATTTTGATCTATCGTATTCCTTCAAATGTCTTTTAAGCCACGATAAGTAGTCATTTCAAAGACTATTTATCATATTTATCATATTCTTCTCAAAAAAAGAGTCCACATAAAAGAAAAAAAAAGAAAAGAAAAGAACAGGAAAAACAGAAAACACTTTGGCATCATCAACTTTCTTATTGTTTATAACCGTGAGAATGACAAAAAAAAGAATTTTCTTTTAAAAAACAGCATAAACTGAGCAAAAAAAACGAGAAAAACAAAAGACTAAACAAAAGACAAAAGTCGGTTTAAAATATCAAATTTCTAACTTAGAATTTACCCGTTTTAGAGAGAAATCCGGGGCGGTGATTAACTGATTAGAGTTCCGGAGGGGAAAATAGGCAATAAATTCATACATAAGCGACGAATTTCTCATGAATTTCTCATGAAATTTCAATATATTTTAATCTTTTTTTCCTTGAGCCATTGATATTCTCGAAGTAGGGAAATGAAAAAAATAAAATTGCATATGAAAATAGAAGGAAAAACAATAATTTAGGGGAAATGCTGGGGTTTAAAAAGGAAAACGATACTTTAGGGAGGATCTAGTGCACTGATTTCCACTGATTTTCACAAATTTCCACTGATTTCTACAAATTTCCACTGATTTCCGCAATTTTCCACAACTTTTCACTGATTTCCGCAATTTTCCACAATTTTCCACTAGAGTTTCGGCAAAAACAGAATTCTCAGGCAGATCTAGACTGAATTCTTGCCTAGATCAGGTTTCTTGATGACTTAGATCTTAGAAATGACTCCTAGAAATGACTTAGCTCTTAGAAATGACTCTTAGATCTTAGAAATGACTCTTAGATCTTAGAAATGACTCTTAGATCTTAGAAATGACTCTTAGAAATGACTCTTAGAAATGACTCTTAGATCTTAGAAATTACCTAGATCTTACCTGGTTTGAATGCTGATGGCAATGAAAGTTCTTTTCAGCCTGCAGCCCGAGCTTCTTACTCGGGTAAGGGCTCGGGCTAAGGCTTCTTACTCGGTTCTTACTACTAAGCCTAAGCCTATAAATGCTTTACAAATCGCTAAATATTAATTCTAGTGCTTTAACAAAAGAAAAAAGCTAAAAGCAAAAACGAATTGAGAGTAAAGGGATTCGAACCAGGTACCATCAACACACGGGCCGAGGATACTATCCACTACACCATCAAGTCGGCCAGCGAGGAAAGTGATTCAGCCTCATATCGCTCCCCTTTCTAGGAATTCAGTGCACCTTAGTTCTTACAAGAGAACGACCGGACTCTTCATAGGGCTGCCACAACGAGCCCGTTCAACGGCTTCGGTGGTCTAGTGGTTAGTGGACCAGCCTGCAGAACTGACGAAGCATTTCTCGCTTGAGTTCAAATCCTCCGCCAATCAATTGTTCTTGTTTTTTTGGAAACTTCTTTTTCTAATGTTTTTTCATTAAATATTTATGTATAGCCTACTAGCCACTAGACTATCAAAGCCGTTAAAAGATCTCTTGCAACGTATCCATTAAGAGTTTCATATTCTGAGAAGGGATCAAAGAATTCCCTTGTTATCATTGTCATTCCCTTGTTCTCATTGTTCTTTTCTAATATCTGGATGGTCCTCCATAAGTACCGTAACCCCGTTGCATATCTAAATCGTCGTATTCATCGTAGCCGTGTCGATCAGGCGGTTGCTGGGTTGGTTGGGTGAATCTGAAAGGATTTGAATGGTTGGTTGAATCGATTTGAATGGTTGGTTGGATCGATTTGAATGGTTGGTTGGATTGGTTTCGACCTAATCAAAGAAATAGGACTTCAAAGCTCTTGATGTTTAGTTTTGTTTAGTTTTTGATATCAACAAACCTTTGCTGTTGCTGGGGCATGAGTTGTGTGTTGGATAGAGGCTGGCTCATCGATTGTCCGTACACTCCAGTCGCTGGCATCAATGTTTGCTGTTGATACTGGAAAGATTACAATTTGATTACAATTTGATTACAATTTGATTACAATTTGATTACAATTTGATCCAATTTGATCCAATTTGATCCAATTTGATCACAATTTGATCCAATTTGATCACAATTTGATCCAATTTGATCACAATTTGATCCAATTTGATCCAATTTGATTACAACTTGATTCCAATCAGCCAAAAAAAGCCAAAAAAGCCAAAAACTCTACCATAGGCATCGGTTGTTGCACAGGTTTGGGAACGCTTTGCTGTTGTGGTGGTTGGAGATAGTTTCCGCCATTCATTCCACCTAGAATCGATTTTGATCTCACTTTTTCTTCTCTTACCCATTGACGCAGCTGATGGATGAGACTGGAGTCCCATTCCGAAAGCACCCATATGTGTGCCTTGCATCATTTGTGCTGGTGTGAAGAGCGTGCTTGGACCTCGGTTCTCCATCGGATTCCTCTTTATTCTCGGTGGTGAACGGACTGGTGGATGGGTGGCTCGCCTGAAAGTTTGTCATTGGCAACTAAACTTTGAACTCAAATTTCTCGGCGTTGGGCTGTCTAATTCTAATAGTTTTTATACCAATCGATAGAGAGAGGCTAGGCGCATCTAATGATATCAAAAAGATTTAAATGGGATAACCCAACACCGAGAAATTTCAGCTCAAAGTTGCCAATCTCAAAAATATTTTCAAATTATAGAAATAAGTTTATTTTCATCTTGCCAAGCCTTGGCTTTGTCTCCCATAATTCCTGCGCTCACTAGAATCCCAGATCATAAGCCAGACCAGTCGCCCACCAGCCAGCCAGACCAGAGCCAGCCGGTTAGCCAACCAACCAGCCGCCCACCAGCCAGCCAGACCAGAGCCAGCCAGACCAGAGCCAGCTAGCCAGCCAGCCAGACCAGAGCCAGCCAGACCAGAGCCAGCCAGACCAGAGCCAGCTAGCCAGCCAGCCAGCCAGACCAGAGCCAGCCAGACCAGAGCCAGCTAGCCAGCCAGCCAGCCAGACCAGAGCCAGCCAGACCAGAGCCAGCCAGACCAGAGCCAGCTAGCCAGCCAGCCAGCCAGACCAGAGCCAGTCAGACCAGAGCCAGCTAGCCAGCCAGCCAGACCAGAGCCAGCCAGACCAGAGCCAGCTAGCCAGCCAGCCAGCCAGACCAGAGCCAGCCAGACCAGAGCCAGCTAGCCAGCCAGCCAGCCAGACCAGAGCCAGCCAGACCAGAGCCAGCCAGCCAAATCAGAGCCAGCTAGCCAGTCAGCCAGCCGCCCACCAGCCAGCCAGCCATAGCTAGGGTTCTGGAAAAACCCTGTAAATAACAATCTCTTACCAGTATGATTCCATATAATCAGCAAGGTGTTCACAGGCGTCTTCTAGTTGATTCTCATCAAGAAGCACATCGAACATTTCCTGAAATCAAATAACAAATGAATTCAATTCGCTGAAAGGATGGTTTACAAATTTTAAGCGAAAAAAAATGCTTAGATTTAAGAAAACTAACCGGTGGACATTGAGCCAACTTTTCAGCGGCTACCATTTGCACATTCATATTTCGACTCTGGGATTTCCCGCGTGATTTTATCAATCTTTGTAGTACCTAAAGAAAACGTTAGTGAATATTTCGAAAGTTTATTTGACTTTTGGTGAGCTGATCTT